GCATGATGACATCAGGGCAGTGTGTATGGTTGGTTCCTTCTCATAGCTTGGAGGGAGGAGGGTAGGCAATGTGGGAGGAGGGAGATAACACTCTTTAATTCATGGAATTTGGGGGCCTGCGTATGACACCTCTGTCTTATTTACTATTACACTTCTAACTGGAAATTTAGGAGGACTTTGTTCTCTGTTTTTCCAAGGGTCCGAAGCTTGGATTCTTCCATCAACTTCACAGCAGATGACACAGAATATGGGTGAGTGTGAGACTTCTCAGCATTGAGGTCACAGAGGTCTCTCTGCTTTTTGAGTGGTTTGCCTCTGACCCTGGGAACACTCTGGTGTCTGTCTGTGGCTCCTGGAATCAGCTATTTTGGTTCCACTGTGCCTGTCTCCCACATCCTCTAGTTAGACAGGAGGAAAGTGAAACATTCTTGCCTTCTGCTTTCTCAGGCCCCTCTCTTGTGGCCTTTCTTTTTCCTCCTCATCTTCTGACTCAAAGCCAGGGATAGTTGTAAACAAATCACCTCTCCATTTGTCAACCTGCCATTTATTTATGTTAAACCATATAGACATTATTCCAATGTGCTTTTGTGAAGGGGGACGTGAAACTATGGGAAACAAAAATTCTCTTACTCATTTTATCCTTAATCCCAGCCCCTTCTCCTGACAAAATCTATATTACTAGTTAGAACATTCTAGATAATTTTGTACTACTGCCTTATTTATATGTGTATTTTTTCCCATTGGGAATAACCTTATAAGATTTATCTCCAATATTGATGGCATAAACTTGTTTGTAACTGGTACAAAATAAATTATTTGAGCTCTCTTAATTGATTTTGTTATTTCTTTCTGTTTCCCACAAAACCCTGCTATGTGACCATCCAGTAAACAAACAAACAAACAAACAAAAAACTAACCTGGGACAAAAACTGTACATTCTTATACTCTATACATTCATTTTAAATTTTTTACTTGCTATTAATATGTGTGAATAGTGACATTTGTGCCATGACATGCACACAAAGGTCAGAGGACATTGTTGTAGAGTCATTTCTCTTCTTCCACCTTTATCTGGGTCCTGGGCAGTTGCACTCATCAAGTTTGTGCTGTAAAGGCCTTTACCCACTAAGTCTTTTCACTGGCCCATGAGATACATTTTTAAAAAGATTTATATTGATTTACATGTATGTGTATGTGTTTGTGTGAGTAAATGCCACACATGTGTGGGTGCTCATAAAAGCATTGGATCTCTTAAAGCTGCAATTTCAGGTGGTTGTGAGCCACCAGTGTGGGACTGAGTTCAAGTCCTCTAGAAGACCAGCAAATGCTCTCAACTGCTAAGCCATTGTCCAGTCCTACAAGATATATTTGTTTGCTTGTTGGGTTTTTTGAGACAGGTTTCTCTGTGTACCCCTGGCTGTCCTAGAACTCTCTCTGTATACCAGGCTGGCCTTCAACTCACAGAGATCTACCTGCCTCTGTCTTCCAAGTACTGGGATCATGGTGCGGGCTACCATACCTGGCTCTACTAGATACATTTTTTTTTTTTTTTACAAAGGGTCCTTATGAAGATTTTCTGTTGGACTGGGCAGGTTGTCCCTGCTCTTTGCTTGTTTCTATTCATTTCTATCATGAACACCCTCTCCTCAGCACCACACCTGTTCTGTCACCTGTAAAGCAGAATGTAGCTTTTTAGCCTCTTCCTGCCTCACACTCTGTAAACTTGGCTGCCATTGTTCCTTGCTATTTCTCATCTATTCTTTTTCCTTGTGTATGTCTTTAAAAAAAATCCACTAATGCCCCATGAAGCTTTTGCATCTGGTTTTATTTACTTCCTTTGTACATCAGACCACTTTCTTTCTTAGTCTGTGTAGAGACCTGCTGTGTCGTTAAGCTGCTGTGTGCTATTTCATTACCTGTTGACTGGTACTTCAGTTGCCTAGGTTTTAGTATTATACCCAGTGTAACTGTGCACTTCCTTCAGCCCGAGTACTTCCTTAAGTATTTATGCAAGCATTTCTTTAGGAGAGCTGGTAATGAAGTAGAGATGTTATGTTGAAAAATGTGAACTATTAAATTTAATAGCTATTACAAAATTGTCCTTGGAAAAGGCTGAGGCAATTTGTTTGTCCTCCCACAGATTATCTGCTTCTCCATATCCTCCCTACACTTGAAATGACCATTTGTTCACTTTCTTCTTTCAGTCCCCCAAGAACATGTCATCTTGTTCCTCTCTTGTTCTCATGAACAGAGTCGGAGCATCTTTGTGTTTATTAGAAAAAACATCTATCCTCCAACTGTGTAGAGAAGGCAATGTGGCATCACTCTCAGAGGCTCAGAAGATGGGATCGGAGGAGGGGACAGACAGTCCTGAGTGGAGGGGAGAGGATGGGTCTTAATGTAGGGCTATAAATTGAGAGGAGATGCGAGGGGGATCTGATGTTGAGAAGCTCTGACTCGCACCAACTCATGGCAGAGGTGAATAGAAATCTGGACTAGGAGTTGACAACTTAGGGGAGGTTGGCTGTCAAGATCCCTCATTCTTTGTTCCCGGATTTTCAAGTCAAAGAAAATGTAGGAAGGAGAAATGTGATGGAGAACAGGCGGAGTTGTTCACAAAACTATTACCTATCATTTCATCCAAATCTTAAAATAGTTTATATTGAATTACAAGAGATCAAGATGTCCTCTGATGCTTTCCCTGCAATACTGTCCCTGATAATTGTTATTTGACTCCTCCATGTCCAAATCTCAGCAGAAAGAATTCTTGCGGCCCTGTCTGTAGGCTAAACTGTGAAAGAGGACTATGTTGTAAGAGGGACTGTCTCTATGTCACATGTCATTATGGAAGAAATTCACTTAGCACATATTAAGTGCTGGGTCAACACTAAGGTATTTTCATGGATGACTTCATTTAGGATCTCTTTGGTAGAAATTCAGGGTCCTATTTTATCTGAATGTCCTGAGGCCACGGAGCTCTCAGAAGCCCTGTCCTGGAAGTCCATCTCTAATAGCTACCTCTTATCTGTTATTTATGTTATAGTTCATCATCAAGTGTTTGGGAGCTCTCCAAAAGTTCATGTGTCAGGGAGCTGTATCCCCAGCTACTGATGCTATTTTATTTACATGTGTCTGTGTCCATGTGTGTGTGTGTGGGGGGGGGGGGGGTGGGGGGTGTGGTGTGGTTGGTGGGGTTTGGTGGTTCTCACAGAGGCCAGAAGAGGGCATCAGATCCCCTGGAGCCAGAGTTATAAGCAGTTGAAAGCTTTCCCAGTTGGGTTCTGGGACCTGGGACTCAGGTCCTCTGGAAGAGCAGGAAGTACATTTAACAGAAAGGCTGTCTCCCAGTTCCTAGTGAGGCTAGTTTGGAAAGTTTTGGAATTTTTTTGTGTTTTTTTTATTAATTTATTTTTTTTTTACAGTCCAATCCCCCTCCCTCCTCTCCTCCCATTCTCCCCATCTCCCTACACCTGCCATCTGCTCCTCAGAGAGGGTAAGGCCTCCCCTAGAAAGTCTACTAGGTCTGTCTCATCATCTCATTGAGGCAGGACCAAGGCAACTCTCCACCCCCACATCCCTGTGTCTAGGCTGAGCAAGGAATATCTCCATATAGAATGGGCTTCAGTATTCAGTTTGTGCATTAGTGTTAGATCTGGGACCCACTTCCAGCAGCCTCATATATTGTTCCAGTCACCATTGTCACCTATATTAAGGAAGCCTAGGTTCTGGAAATTTTGAGAGATGAGAAGTAGCTGGAGGAAGTACATGGCAGGACCAGGTCTTTGGAGGTATCCCACCTCTGTCCCCTTTGTCTCTCTGCTTACTATCTGCAAGAGATAAATAGCTTCATCTGCCACATTCAACTCTCCAAAACTCCTGCACTGCTTCAAATGGTTAGTAATTACAATTCAACTGAGAATACAACCAAACAACAATAAAAACTCTGAAGAAGGTTGCATGTAAGTTTCCTTTGCCTCTCAGATGTAGCCATTACAGGATTCTCCAACCCTTTATACCTCATAGCAGAAATGTGTGACATGGTCCCCAGTTATCCCTTTGTTTGTGGATTCCTTAAGCCCTTTCCCCAGTGCCCCTCACAGCCTTATGCATAGCCTCCAATAGGGATTGAAAGCGTTCTATGGAAGCCTAATGTCACATGGTTATATCACTATTTCATGGTGATTTTTTTAATTTTTAATAATTTCAGATGAATTACTTTCCTTGTCCTTTTCTAAATCACAGTTTCCTCAAAATATAAAATGTAGATGATAGTGGTGCTTATATCAGGACTTTAAGAATGGAAATGCATAAGAAAGGCTAGTGTGTAATTATTGACTGGTAAATGATAGTCATCACGAAGGATCCCTTTTTCCTTAATACTTTACATCTCTGCCACAACCCTTCCTTTTAGGCTAGTGCAGAGGGAATGTAATAAGAGTCCATTTACATCAGCTCTTGCCTAACTTGATATTCTTGCTAAGAACATAGATTTTTTTAGATTTATGATATTTTTAAAACTGTTAATTACACTAGGGGAACAGCAGATGAGTGACAAAATTACAAACTCTGGAAGGTTTCAGGAGCTTTTCAAATCTTACAGTAGTAATTCTCCACCATCAGTGAGAGTGAGGTTTTGAAAGCTTTCCCAAACTCCTTTCTAGACAGCTTTGTAGACCTGCCAATCACTGGTTTCATTGCTGGGGGTGGGGTGGGGCATCTTTAGTCCCCTGTTGCCTCTTGGTTGCTTTGTTCTTTTTGTATTTCTCAGTCTGTGGAGATTCCACTTCACAGCTGAGGAGGGGGAATCAATTCATGGCTTTAAAAAGGAGCTGCAGTTCAGTCTTCTATTCAAGGGCCTCTAGATTTCTGCAATTTATTTTGTAAGGCAATTCTGCGTACATCTATCTTCTGGTTCAATGGTCTCTAATCTCCCAATGTTTGGTCTTCAATGGAAGAAGCCTTACCCAGGATGACACATTCTCACCTCCATGCTCTTGATAGGTGACATGTTCTAGGACTTGCCCAAGATCAGACTTTAACAGTGAGCTGGGACTTCTGGCCACATTTCAGGGGTTTTCATTTTTAACCGTAGGTCTAAGAACATGCAATGCATAGAGAAGTGCTATTTGTAGAACAGTGGAAAACTGATCCCAATGAGGGTTGGTCTTTAAAAAACAAACAAACAAACAAACAACAAAAGAAACTTTTTAATGTCTGTCTGTGTATACATGTGTGTGAGAATATGAGCATA